GTGCTCCGTGTTAGGGAGCAGTTAAAGAGCAATTGAGGTTTCTTTCCTACCAAGGAATAGTAAGGGAGCATTTTGTTTTGTTCTTGTTTTGGAAGGACCCTCCTGCTGCAGAGGAACACTTGGCAGGTACGGATGCTTGTTTCAATACTCTGAACCTGCACCGTCAAATACCCCCTGTGTGCCTACGCCGTTGTGCCTTGGGGTTTTCTGTGCAGTGCATGTTTGGTTTTACCGCCGTCTCCCCTCCTTATCTCCCTTCCTTCACAAGCAGGTGAGGTGCTGGAGGCACAGGGGACCTTGTCCCAGAGGGGCCCTGCAGCTCCCGTTGCCCCAGCCAGGACGTGGATCTGGGTTTTGCAGCCCTGTTGGTGTCTGGAGCTGCAGGGCTTTGTCTGTGTTGGCTGTGGGGCCTCTTCTCTCTAGGGCAGACTCTTATCAGCGCAGCACTGACCTGTTTTGGGAGGATGGGGCAAGCTGATTAGGAAGGGGTGACCCCTCCCTTTGGCACTGATGGACCAAGCACCGCGGGTTGGGAGCCTCTGGGCTCAAGTCGGTGCAGAATGAGCACAGCTCAGCCCAATGCAGCCACCTTCTGTGCTGTGCCAGGGCCTTGGGCACTGGAACAACTGATTTTTGACCTGCAGAGACTGACACCTCCTTCCCTGCCATGCATGGGTGCAGGCCTGAATTGCAGGGCCCCAGCAATGGAAGACCTTGGCCTCTGTTTCCCTTCATTTTTATTATGGCAGAGCCTCTCAGGGCTTGGTTGTTTCTTTAAGAACTGTGTATCTGTGGGTTGAACAGCACAGCCCAGGTTGTTTCCACCTGGAATGAGGTTTGCTCCTTGGATCTGATTAAACATTTAACCAAAGGCAAACAGGGAAGCACTGCTGGTGCCTGAGCCAGAAGCTGCCCTGCAGTGCCTGGTACGTGGCCAGGCAGGGAGCTGTGCCTTCCCCACAGAGACTCTGTCTTCTCTCCGTGCACCGTGCAAGCTGTGATTTCCCCGCGTAACAACACAGATATTTCTGTTGTAGCAGTGTCTGTATTTATTTTCATCATTTTTTCCTGGGGTTTTTTTGGTCTTTTGGCTGTAACGTGGCCTTTAGTGCTCTTTTTGCCAAGTCACTGGCCCAGGCTGCCCTTTGGCCAGCTGTTCCCTCTCCGTTCTGCTTTGCTGCCCCTTGCAATCTCCTCTCCGGTCGAGGTACAGCGCTTTCCCTGCATGAGGGCATCTCTGGCAGCAGCAAAGTGCCCCATCCCTTTTTGGTGCAGCCATAGGGCACCAAGAGCCTCCTGCGCAAGGTGACACAACCAGGCACTAAAGCTTTGTCCCCCGGTGGCCTCTCCTTTTCCTCTGAAGGACGCAGGTTGTGCTGTCCATACCCGTCCTTCTCTGGGCCCGCTGTGCTCTTGTCCCCTTCCCTGAGCTAACCTGGGATTTGGCTGTTTTGGGATGCCCAGGTCTGGTGCAGCCACGAGCCCTCTTCCTGCACACGGAGCACGAGCGGAGGAAGTCGAAGACGATCACGCAAGCCGACATGAAGGTGGAATTGCTGCCAGCCCTCACCGACAACTACATGTACCTCCTCATCGATGAGGAAACCAAGGAGGCTGCCATCGTTGACCCTGTGCAGCCCCAGAAGGTAACGCTGTCTGCTGCCTTCATGAGCAGGATGCTCGCCGCTGTGGCTCTGGGAGGTCCTTCCAGGTTGCCACATCCATGAGAGAATCAGTCACATCCATAAGAGAAGTAGCCACTGACTCAGCATGAGAGAAAGGCAGGAAATACTGGCTCTGCATAGGTACAGACCAGGCTTCATGGGCACTCTGCTTCTGGGCTCAGACAGCTCTGACTTCAGGGGTTATTGACCTGATTTTGGGTTTTGGCCTTAGTTTGATGTGGTGTGGAACAGAGGAACTGGGGCTGAGGGCTCAGTCCTGGCTCGCTGGATCAGAGACTTCACATCCTGGTCTGTAACCATGACTTGGAGAGGGGTGAGCTCTCTGCAGAGCTGCTGGTGTGGCTCTCGAACCTCACAGCAGTCGTGTCTGGGTTACGCCAGGTGCTGGGTGTGTTGTTAACGTCTCATGTGAGTTGTAATGCTCTGGCTGTGCCCTGTGCCTGCAGGTTTTGGATGCAGTCAAAAAGCACGGCGTGAAGCTGACCACCGTCCTGACCACGCACCATCACTGGTAACTGTCTGCTGGACTCCTCTTCCCTCTGCACAAACACCAGCAGTCAGGAATTGCTGCTTTTCCGGGTTAAATTGGTCTCTCAGCAGGAGCTTAGGTGTGAGGAGAAGGATCAGAGCTTGGGCTTGCTATGACCAGATGCATTGGTTGGACTGCAAGCTGTGTGTGTCAGTGCCCTTAACCTTTAAAACGCTGACTTCAGCCACTGAAATAAATGTGTGCAGGTCGCTGGGGAGTGCCGAGGGAGCAGCTCACACGGAGGTGCTGGGACGTGCCTGTGGGGCGTGCTGCTCAGTCAGCAGCTGTGGGAGGATTACCTGGGTTGCAGATTAACTCTGCCAGGGACCTGAAGGTGAAGGTTTTGCTTCAGCAGTTTTGCAGTGCTGAACGTGAGTAACCTCTCCTGTGGGTCACAGTGGAGCCACCCCCGTGGCTGCAGAGCCAGCCCTGACCTTAGAATGGTTTTGGTTGGAAAAGACCTTTAAGATCATGGGGTCCAACTGTGATCTGGGAGCAGCACTGTGAGTGAATGCTGAGCTGGTGTATATATATACACACACACACCATATATATATTTAGATATACATATATATGTATGCAAACATCTGTGTACCTGCTCCATGATGTCTTCTGGGATGCTGACTTACACCTCCCAGTTATCCCAGTCTCTTCCCTGCCCTAGTTACTGGAGAAATGACCTCCACTCCTGTTGGTGTGGCTTATGCTTTGGTACCAGGGCAGCGATGGGACAGCAGTTGGTCAGGAGGGATCACCAGAGGTTACCATTGCAATATGAGTCATGATAAATTTGTCTTCATCCCTGCCCAAATGTGTTTTTCTGGCCTTCCAGGGACCACGCTGGAGGGAATGAGAAGCTCGTAAAGATGGAGTCGGGGCTGCGCGTGTACGGGGGAGACAGCAGAGTCGGAGCCCTGACACAGAAGGTGTCTCACCTCACGTCGCTCAAGGTAAAGGGACTGAGCTGCAGGACTCGGCTGGGGCATCTCCCATTTGTGTCACAGCTTCAGAGCAGGGCCAGCGTGGTCCAACTCGAGTTAATGTCATGGTCACAGCTCTTTTAACATCTCATGGATGTAGACAGTTCAACTACAGCCTTCACCCTTTTCCAGCCCTGTGAACCATAACCCCTCTGTCTTGTTTTGACACCGAGATGAGGACACTGGCGTGGCTCAGACACCTGCATTGCTTGAGGGAGCCTTACCTGGGGTGGCTGACGTGAAAGGACAGGGCTTGGGCTCCACGTGGAGCCTGGTTAGCACCGAAAAAGCGTGAGTGGTCCTGTCCAAATGACGGCTGAAATACGGGGTGAAGAGCGCTAAAGCAGCAAACCTTGCTGGAGCGTAGCTGTTTGCTTGCAGACGAGCTGGCAGATGACACAAACTGCTGTGAAATGCGCAGCTTGGTGTGAATGTCACCACCAGGCTTGTGGTTCACCTCGGGGAGGGGCAGCAGCAAAGCAGGGAGCACAGAAATGCAGGGGGAAGCGTTCAAACTGGGGCTGTGGGGAAAACAGCCCCTTGGCCTCGTGAACGTGTTTAATCCTTCCCTTTCTGTGAGCGTCGTCCGCTTCTTCCCTTCAGCTTCAGTTTTGTGTGGAGGGTTTTTATTTTTTTCACCCTTGATTCGCTGTGCTCAGGCTCTGGCGTTGCTCTGGATCTGGTTGCTCGTGCTGCCAACCAGACGCTGAGTCACTCTGCATTTCAATGAAAGACTGGCATTTCTTTCAGTCACGACACCTGCGAGGGGAAAGCAGCTCCCTTCCCAATCCCTGCCATCAAACTCTCTTGCTGGACTCTCCCAGGAGCAGAGCTATGTGAGGATTTGCCTCTAGGACCCCTAGACCGCTGTAATAATTCTTTTCTAACCATATCAATGCTAGCAGACAGTAGCTAAAGCTCCAGTCTTCTGCCTTCTTCTCAGGTGGGATCTCTTAATGTGAAATGCCTCTGTACGCCGTGTCACACTTCTGGACACATCTGTTATTATGTGACTAAGCCAAATAGCTCCGAGCCACCTGCTGTTTTTACAGGTGAGGAGTTGGGAGGTTGCATTGCCGGCAGTCTGTGTTGCAAAGAGCTCGGCCACCCCTCTGCCTGTGTGCTCCTGACTCTGGATGTGCATCCGCCCCGTGCTGCCAGTGCCGCTGGCATCTCCCGACATCCCTAAAATCCACCTCTGGCCCCCTCACCAAGAGCTACCGAGCAGTAGTTGTAGATGAAAGCGGTGAAAGCCCTCTGGGTTTGTGAGCCATTGCTGGATGCCCTGCGAGCAACGTCGAGAGCGAGCCCTGGATGAGTCCTACGTGTTCCTCCAAACAAGAGCTGTTGGTTCAGTGTCTCAGGCCGAGCTGTGGCTGATTCCAAAACCTGTGGCTTTTGCATGCGTTCGTGTCTGTAGCAAAAAGTGAGAGAAGAGGAAGGATGCGTTGGCGCGAGGGGCCGCGCCTGGTGCTGATGCCCTGTCACTCCTCCCTTGCAGGGGACACGCTGTTCGTGGCCGGCTGCGGGAAATTCTTCGAGGGAACCCCCGAGGAGATGTACAGGGCGCTGATTGAGATTTTGGGCAGCTTGGACCCCCAGACGGTACGAACCTCTCCTTTTGTGCTACGAACTGGCCAGAAACCACCACAGACATCAAAGCAAGCATCTTCCTAGTAGTGCAAAGGGAGACTTTCTTGTGTTGAAGGAATAAATGCTACATCAGGGGTTGGCTTTGATGCTGAATGGCTGGAGTGGGAAGGAAATACCTACCCAAATATGTCTGTGTTTTGAGGAGAAAGAGTCGGGGCTGGTTATTAAAGTGAAGGCTGGAGAGCTGGGATGCTGGGATCTTTAATCAAGCTTATCATTAAATTTGCAGATAGCACTGGCTGGTAACTGCTGTGCCTGTCTCCAGTGTCCTGGAGGGCTGGCTCTTGCTCCTCCTGTGCCATAACACTGATAATGGTACTCGGTGATGGCACTGGACCCCTGTACCCTCAGTTACTCAGTGCTGCTCTCCCTGTCTCTTCCTAGAGAGTTTACTGCGGTCACGAGTACACCATCAACAACCTCAAGTTTGCTCGGCACGTCGAACCCGATAACGTCAGCATCCGGGAAAAGCTTGCGTGGGCCAAGGTGAGGCGGTTCCTCCTTGCCCTGATGCTGTGCTGGAGGCAGAGCCTCTGGGGAGGTTGAGAGAGTGGACAACAGTGGGGAGAGAAGGGAGTTACTGCAGCTCCTGGCTCTTGTGTCGTGCGTCCAGGGCAGCGATGTGCTGGGGAATGGGGTTGGTGTGTGGAGCAGTGGTGTGGTCTTACACAACTGAGCACCAGGCAGCCGCGCACCACGCGTTCCCCAAGTGAATCGGAGGGAAAAGAAGAAAATTGGGGGTTGAGGAGAGTTTAATAATTGAAATAATAATAATAATAACAACAAAAATAACAATAACAACAACAACATTACCAATATTTATATTATACTATATCTCATATATCATATCATATTACATCATATATCATATCATATCATATATCATATATATCATATAATATATCATATCATATATCTTTATTACATTACATTGTATTACATTGTATCACATTACATTACATTATATCATATTACATTACATTATATTACATCTATCACATCATATTCTATCTTATCATATCACCCTGAGTACTGTGTTCAGTTCTGGGCCCCTCACTCTAAGAAGGGTGTTGAGATTCTGGAGCTTGTTCAGAGCAGAGCCACAAGGATGGGGAGGGCTCTGGAGAACAAGCCTGATGAGGAGCGGCTGAGGGAACTGGGCTTGTTTAGCCTGGAGAAGAGAAGGCTGAGGGGAGACCTCAGCACCACCTACAACTGCCTCAAGGGAGCTTGTAGAGAGGTGGGTGCTGGTCTCTTCTCCCAGGTGATGGGGGAGAGAACAAGGGGAAACGGCACCAAGCTGTGCCAAGGGAGGTTCAGGTCAGAGCTAAGGAGGAAGTTCTTTACTGAGAGGGTCGTCAGAAGCTGGCACAGGCTGCCCAGGGAGGTGGTGGAGTCACCATCCCTGGATGTGTTTAAAGAGCGAGTAGACGAGGTACTTAGGGATATGGTTTAGGGGGTAGACAGGAGCGGTTGGACGTGATGATCTCAGAGGGCTTTTCCAACCGAGCCATTCTGTGATTCTGTGATATCATATCAGTTATGACAATAATACAGTAAACCAAAACAGGACCAAGAGAAAACAAATGATACGATTGCTCCCCACCCATTGACACCCAGCCTGTCCCTGAGTAGCGGTCGCATTCCCCAGCCAGCTCCCTGTACTGAACACGATGTCTGATGGGTGGAGGGGCTCTGCTCAATCTGGGGCAGCTTTCCTGGCTGTGTCTCCAGGACAGCACCAGAAACCCACAAAAGTCCTTGGCTTAATGTAAACATTGCTTGGCAACAACTGCAACAAGGGTGTGTTATCATGTTATTCTCAGCACAAGTCCAAAACATAGCTTTATCCTGGCTGCTATAAGGAAAACCAACTCTATCCCAGGCTGCTAGAAAGGAAAATCAGCTCTGTCCCAGATAAAAGCCAGCACATCCAGAGAAGATGGTTTGCTGTCTGGTGGAGGTGTGACCTTCCCTGGAAACTTCTTGGTGTAATTACAGGCTGGGAGGCTCAGCTCTGTCCCAAATCTCTCTGTGTGTGCCCCAGAGCTTGTCTGTCTGACTGCACGGCCTTGGGAAGGCGATTAGATACAGCACAAACCCTGCGTGGTTGATTACAGGACATTTTGTTCACCAAAACATTCCTCATTAAGCAGAAATCTCTCCCCTGCTGCAGGCCAAGTACGACAGTGGTGAGCCAACCATACCCTCCACCATTGCTGAAGAGTTCACCTACAACCCCTTCATGCGAGTCAGGTATGGAGGGGGTGTGGGGGTGGGAAGGGTCCTTGCGTTCAGAGGTGGGTGTGGGATGGAGGAGGTCCCCAGAAAAAAGAGCCGTAAGCAGGAATTACTGCCCTGCCTCGCACAGTCCTGTTGTGATGCTCTAAGACCCTCCTTAAAACCTCTGCCTTCCAAGGATGAGTAAATAAAATGTCCTGGGAAGAGGGAAAGCTGAAGGGTTGTGCTGAGCATCTCTGCCAGTGCTGACGTCCCTGCCTCGGCAGCCAGCGCAGCCTTCGCTGTGTGATCGCATCCCTCTCCATGCAGCAGCCTTTGGATGACGATCAAGGCATGAAAGCAGCCGCAGTTTCCTCTTGCCATTGAAACCAAGGGTGTTGCTAATTCTGTGCCAGAGCCTTTGATCTCCCAGTGCAGCATTTCCCCTTGATGCAGGCGAAATACGATAGTCGTGACTTCACATCTGAGGTTTGATCTTCTCCGCGTTCCCCGTTTCCCTCCTGGCAGGGAGAAGACGGTGCAGCAGCACGCCGGGGAGACCGACCCCATCCGAGCGATGGGGGCCATCAGGAAGGAGAAGGACAACTTCCGAGTCCCCAAGGACTGAGCACGCTCTGCCCGGCTCACTTTAATGTCCGTTTTCGGTGTCATTTCGACTATTCAGATGTTTTAGGAGTTGAACCTTCTGTTGTGGTTGAGACGGTCGTATTTAGGTTTTTATTTTGTTTTAATTAAGGAGGAGAAAAAAAAAAAAGCACTTTGCCCTTGATGAGATGTTCTACAGCATATTTATATTGTGATGAAGAATATTTATCCTTTTATCGCTGGCTCTTGCTGTCACGTGCAGATCATTTTACAGGCATGGGGAAGAGCCAAACCTTTGAGGTCTAGGAAGAAGCTCCCGTGATTTCTGTAGGAGCTGATGTGGGACTGGAGTCTGAGATGCCTTCATCTACAACAGACACAAAATGCAGTACCTCCATTGCCAGCTGAAGATTTAACCTTTACTTCCTCCTTCATTCTGAGTCTGTCGCTTCTGGCTCTGCTAAACCCAACTCTGGCTCAGCCCTGGGCTGGTGAACACGGGGACTGCCCGGCTCCTCTCCTCTCTGCTGCTCCCCGTCCTGGACTGCGGTTTCCACGCAGCACAGAGGTTGTGCTGTGGCTCGTACCCTCGACGCAAACCCGCTTGCATGTCCCTGCGTGCTGCTCGTGAGCGTGAGCTGTCTCCTCCTCGTATTAGCACCGCGCAAACGGAGAAGGGATTTGTCTGCTGCTTCCAAATCCCGACAAGAACTCACCCAAGGACTGACTGCGTGTCTGACAGCGGCGAGATCCTCCAACAGGCTGCTCACCTTGCTGTGAGTAACGTGGCAAACGAGCGTTTCCAGAGAAGAGGGGTGGCAGGATCTGCATCTTTAGTGCATCTTCCTCCTGGTTGTATTTCCTTCCTCGTTTCTTGCTCTCAACAAAAGATTCAAACGATTTTGGTTCCAGTTTCTCCCCCTCTGCCCGGTGTGTGTTGGTGTCTGGACTCCATCGTGGCATTACACCGGTGTAGCTTTGGTCTGCAGCGCGTGAGCGGGATTCGGTGCGGCGCCGTTTCTTTATTTGCTTTAAAAATGTCAATTTTACGTAGTTCAGGAAGAAAAGTGGTCCCTGAAACCTTTACCTGCTCCGTAACGCGAACGCTGCGCTGCTGCGATGGAGCGTGACTGTCCTGGTGGCTGTTGGACAAATGAGTGAATAAATGACAGCTGTACACCCAGCTTGGCTCTGCTCCTGCCCACGGGTGCTTTTTGGGTCTGGGAGCCCCTCCTGGAGCTGTGGGAGCCCCTCCAGGTCCTCCCTGTGCCCAGGACTTGTCCTTCTCATCCTGTGTAACGGTTCCCACAGTGGGAGCTGGCACCTCCCAACCTTCACAGGGAGGGGAGAGCCTCATCCTTCCCATTTAAACACGGGGGTGCTGGGAGACTGGGGCTACTTTGGCCATGGGGGGAGGTTTGGTGCTTGGGGGTGCTGTGGCAAGGGGCCAGGCTGCACTTTTGGGGTGCTGAGAGGGGTCCATGTGCTCCAACCTTCCTCCTTGCCGGGCTCCCGTGCACCCCCAGCCTTGCAAACCTGGGTGCGGGTGGGGGACAGGGTGAGCTGGGGGGGCCGCAAGTAGGAACGGGAATGGGGGGGTGGTCCACGGGGAAATACCGAGGGGGGGCGGTGCACCCCTCTGCTTCTCCCT